GCTGTGGGTTTCAGGGTGAAGATCTTCTCTCACTACTCTAAAGGGCCCCTTTGGCAGTAGGAAACACATAGACTATTATGGAGATTGATTTTGGAGTTTAGATGCACTGTTATTAATTGTGCTTAGAAGAACCTGTCTTATCTGTTTCACACAGAGTGACCAGATTTAAATTACAATTGGCAACTTTTGAAAACATAGCAAAAAAAAAATTGGTGACTTTTTGGTAATAGCCCAATTGGGAATAAAATTGGCAACCCCCCAGAAATTGTGCGTGAGGGAAAAGGAAAGCACCCCTTCTGGCACCAGGATAGAATAAAGGTCTAACCACAAATCCTACCAAAACAAAAAATAAATACGTTTTAAAATTTGGATGAAACACAATTTACTAAGTCCAACATTGGAAGAGAGAAAGTATGTAGACAGTGCCATACCAGTTAAATAAATGTGATCCATAAATTAGAAGTCCCCACAAAAAAGTAATCCTGGGATCAGATTATGTGCACTGAGGAATTGTTCTAGACAGTTAAAGTGCTGTAAGTCTTACACCGAAATTAGAAATACATTTCTGTTTAGAGAACAGAAAATGAGACAACATCCTAACTCATTCTGTGCAGCCCGTAAATTACTGATCCAGCACTGCAAGGAGCCGTGCAACTTTTCTGCCTTCACTTCTCATCAATGACACAGAAGCAGTAACCCAATGTGTGCCTCGAGACGTGGAGAGGACTGTTCTCCTCGGTCAGCATAGAATGTTGTGCAAACGTATCAATTGGTTGGCAGGTGCTCAATCATTATCTCTGCAGAAGACCTATCCCACTGCAGAATGTCAGACCGTGGCCCCACAGTGCCAGGGCAACATCATGGAAGTGGTGGCCCACATTTCTCAAGAGACTCCCAGATTTAGGGTCCCAAGATTGAGATTGTTAACAACTTCAGTTTGCTTGGCTCCACAATCGACACTCTTGGCACCAGCAGCCAGGAAATAAAAAGACGAATTACATTGGGAAAGTCTGCTGTTAGGGACCTCTTCAAAGTACTGAAGAGCAATGATGTCAGTCTGGAGACTAAGGTGTGCCTGATACAGGCCATGGTCTTTGTAATCATTTGCTCTGCATCAGAGAGCTGGACAGTGACTAGGGATGAAAGAACAAGATTGATCCCTTTGAGCTGTGGTGTTGCAGAAGAGTATTGAATATACTATGGACTACTAAGAGAATGACGAACAGGTTCATTCTTGAGAGGGTTAAACCAGGCTGCTCCTTGAAGGCAAGGATTCTGAAGCTTCATTTGGCGTACTTTGGACATGTTGAAAGGAGAGACAGGTCTTTAGAGAGGGACATCATGCTTGGTAGGGTGGAGGGACAGCAC